CCGAAGGGAGAGACTGGAGAAACTGAATTTTCTCTCTGGTACTTTGCAGACTGATAGTACCATTGTCATGCTAAGGCCTGTAACACTGTCCTCCACCCTACAGAAGTGCTGATTTAGACACAGGTTAATCCTGTGAATTTAAACCTGGTTTGCCACTACTGCAAAGCAGCTAAGATGGGGTTTCCAGGACAGTGACTACAGCAAGAGCTGGTGCAGAGTGACCAGCTGGAGGTGGATGTGGAGTAGAGCTGTTCCGGTCCTGCTGTAGGACAGACAGAGGGGCTGCAGTAGCTGGTCCCATAGAAAATCTAGATGCATTTTACACAGTCAAAAAAACAGGACAGCAGAGTGCAAAGCCAGAGTTTTCCCAGCTGCCCCAAATGTGCCCGAGGCGCTGCACTATGTGCATTGAAGAGGGTCAGAAGGGAGAAGGTGCAAGAGGATGCGAGTATGTAAGGAGAGAAAAGGAAAGGAAGGTGACTGTCACTGTGTCCACTGTGGAGACACGTAGGAGACTGAGGATCACAAGAACTGGCTCTCCTGGTGAACTGTCTCTCTTGTTTAATGGACAGTTTGGCACTAATCAATATTTGTTTGTGGCATTATCTTCAATTCACTAAGCTCCTTGCTGCTTTTCTCCTTCCTCGGTGGTTAACCACCTCTTTCTCCTCCAGTCCCCCGGGGACTACAGCGGGAAAGGGGGGATGGGTATCAGGCGTTTGAAGAGTGGGAAGATGCCAGAGGCAGCAGATGTCGGTGGGCCGGTCTTTTGTTCCCTCCCACTAGCCAGCCTGAGCCCTGGGACCACCTTTTTGTTTTTGTCTCATCATTGTAATTCACCAAGGAGGGCCTTTTCAGGAGTTAACTTCACACACAGCTCATCTCTACCCCACAGTCTCAACAAAACAGCCAAGATTGCCCTCATCCTCTGGTTTCTATTTAGATCACTTTCCATTTAACATTTTAAAAAACCTGTCTCGGTTAATGCAAAGCACTTAAAATCAGCTAGTGCCTTACAAGTCTGCTTGGTCTCAAAGACTCAGTTTGCTGCTCCTTGGCAGGAGCATTTTTAATCCTAGTTAGAAGAAGAGCCAGAATGCACAGGTACATGTTTGGTAATCCTTTGCCTTGCAGAATGCAGTGAGAATCATCCCCCAGCCAGGCAAGCCATGTTACAGCCACTGCTGAAGCTAAACGGAGTCAGAAATATGGGTACTTTTTATACACAGCATATTGCTATAATCACTGTCATGGAAAACGGCGCTGCCTTCCTATACTTGATGATGGCAAGAAGGGAATGGGTGCAGCATGCAAAGCCACAGCCTGGACCCTGAGAGACCTGCAGGGACAACCTGCTTTCTGCAGCCTCAGCTCAGAAATAGCCAGCAGGAGCATCGAGTACCGTGGTGTATACTCAGGGGGCTCCTAACAGCTGGGGTTTCCCGTGAAAGAACTGAGCCTTTACAGTTGGCTCGGTCACAAATACTCTCCCTTCAGCTGACCCTGCAGTGCAGCCTCCTCCGTGCAAGTGGCTTTCTGCGCCCTGCGGGCATCCCAGGAACCTGCCAGATGAAAAACAGTGTGCACACATGCTCCCTCCCTCTCCTCCCTTATCGGTGTGTATATTAATATCCAACCCCCTGCTAAGCTGGCCAGAGCAGCTCTGGGCTGTTGGCAGCTTGGCCGCAGAAGGCACAAGTAAATGTGCAAAGCCTCGGGGTGGGAAACATCAGCTCATCGGATGCAAACAGGGCACACATACACTACACGGTGTACAGGGGCATTCCGTAATCTTTGCTACACCCTGTCCAGCAAGGATAGCAATGTCTGCACTGACAGCGACTGCAACTTCCTTGCAGAAGTCAATCTGCCGCGGGCTGGCGGGGGGAGGCAGCCCAGCCTCTCCCCAGCCTGCTGCGAGGTCTGCTGCTGGCCAAGTGCCACCCCCCACTGCTCCCCAGCCCCTGCACAGCTGGGACTCCCTATTCAGAAAGGAGAGGACGATGCTACAGGGCAGTTAAATACTACAGAGGAGTTAAATGCCTTTCTTAGTGCTCAATCCGGATCCATCACCTCGGTTGCAAGTGGGACTGAACTCAATCCAGAACTGAATGGCCTTGTTTCCATGAGCTATTGGGGCACTTAAGGCACAATCCATCAAGGCACCATCCATCAAGGCACCGGGTGTCTTTCACTTCTAATGTAGTCAGCTGCCACCCAGCAGGACAAGGACTGTAATTCCTAGCAACAGACAGTTTGACTCTGTAATCACTTACAAATGATGCAGAAAACACCCCTTCATTCATTTGCTGGTACTTTAAATATACAACTCCAATGCACCTGGCAAAAAAACCCATATAGCCCATTAAGAGCACATAACCTCCAATAGTTTATTTTCATCCTTTGCATGAATCATAATAATTTTAATTAGAATTAAAATTTATATATACAGGTTACATGTGCAAGACAACCAGTATCTTCAGTCACAAGTACAAGCAAAACTCTTCACATACTCTTTTACAGACAATTCCTCAAATGCCACAGAAGGATACTTTTATTTTAATACAATATATTTGGTGGTTCTTCAAGCAGAAGGAAATGCACACAGATAAAATGCACCACTTAAATAAATAAGCCTCTTTTGCAAGAACTGAAAAGATTGCCTGCATGGGAAGCTAACCATGCATTTCATAGCACTTCATTCATAGCCATTCCTAGTTAATTTTGTTACTAAGTAGTTGACGATTTCAAATATTGAGTTGCTTATGGGACTAAACCAGCAAAGTCTTCACACATAGAATTCACATACAACTAAGATTCAGTTTCCCCACTTGTCCTTCAGCAGTTTGTTGACATAAATACTATAATTTTCTGCTCAGGAGTGAACTTGGCATGTTTAGAGCTCACCAGTTCAGCTTTCAATACGTTCAACAGTCAGCCTGCTGTATTATAGGAATCTTTACTATTGAATTAAGCAAAACAATATCTTCATTCTACCCTAAAACCTACATGTATGTACAATACTAATGGCTTGCTTAATTCAGATATTGCCTAGTGCTGGGCCTCAATATTTTGCTTACAAGTAAGCGGTTCCATAAATATTTTTAATATATTTTTACCATTAAAACAATGAGGACAGAGCAACTTAAGCAACCATAAAACATATCAAATTAGTGCAAATCAATAGATATTTATAGGTTAAGTGTCTGCATGATGTAATGAAACATGCAGGTAAGATTTTTTTCAAGTTCCAGGCTGTATTGACAGGTATTTTTACAGTTGGCACAAAATGCACTTTGGTTCTCTTATACTTACATGCAGTCCTTTTTAATTCTACCTGAACTGGAATTTTAAGAGAACCTCAGTATTCCAGTAACATCTCTGTTATTCAACCACTTCCAGCAAAGGCTTTTATTATCCTTCCTGAACACAAAATACCCAGGCCCACTGACACAGGGAGCCCCTCAGATGCACAGTCCGCTCTCCATCGTTCTGGCTACACAGTGATAAGCAGCTTCTGCACCAGTTACAGCACACCCTAAACTGAGTCATCTTTCAGACTTTTTGCTAAGCCTCTGTCAAGCTGAGATTTCACATTGCCAGGGTATGCCACTGTTACAGATTCTTAACAATTCTCAAAATACTTGCTTTCAAGACAAGGACCTCAAGGTACAGCTAAATGAGCAGCTCTTTCTATCTATATATATAAAATAAACCCGCATTTTTATGAGCACTGTTTCTTTTTGAAATAAATCAATGGGATACACACAAATCACTCCTGACTTTCTTGCAAGGTCAGTGAGAAATGAAGGCTGAAAGCTTTATGCCCTCCCATGGAGGCAAATGTATTCCCCTGGGGTGGAGAGGGAATTTCTCATGCAGAGGACTTCAGGGTAAGTCATGGCATCAACTATCCTATACTTTAAATCTTAAATTCAGGGTTGGGGAAGGGAGTGACCCTCAGCAGCCATCCTACATAGAGCCAAGAGGAGGAAGCAAAGAGAGTCCACCCTTCATGCCAGGACTTAAAACAAAAGCTCACCTTGCCAGGAGAGCCAAGTTATGGGGAAATTCAGATAGAAGAGCCTAGTGGTGGGCTCATGCCTGCCTCTGCCTGTGCTGAGCTCACAGTGCAATACATCTACAAAGCAGCTTGAGTGCTCATGACCCACCTGGGAGGTACCTGGTGCTTGGGAATATCTTCACATTTGGTCCTAATAAACTGATAAGGCAAAGCTAACCTCTGCTAGCTTTCATGACAGGTGTGCAGCTACCTTGTCTTACACCCTGCCCCTCTGCCCCTGGGCTAACTGGGGTTCAGGGTCCTCTAGAAGATTTGGTGGTCTCAGTGCTCTGGAGCTCCCTGTGTCCAAGCAGCCAAGTGAAGGAATTTAATGCCCATATGCTGGACCAGCTGCCAGTATCTCTGAGGCAGTTCACATTTCAATAGAACGGCGTTTAAAGGCTTGCATATTAAGGGGAAGTAAACCCCTTACCTGGTCATGCACCCAAACAAAACCAATAGTTTGAATGAGCTTTGGGAAACACGCTTTATAAAAATGTCCCTCACACAAGCTTTGATATGGACTATATCAGGCAGCCCATACATGTGGTGCATTAGAGGAACGGAAACAGTCCTCACAGTGATATGCATGCACAAAAGGTCCATGGGAGGTGAAATTCCCTCCTGCCTGTATTGCCCTTTTGTGGGAATGAGGGTAAAGGATAAGAAGAAAGAAAGGGTGAGGTAGAGCATGTTGGACTTGACCCAAGTGTAGCATGAAGATACCTACCGTGGCAAGACACACTCCTGTCCCCTGCAATCAAAAACCATGCCCATTGTCTGGAGACTGGGCACACCTACAGAGGTGCTTGGGACCTGTTCTGTGAGGCTCATTGTCACCTCCTGCGGTGGTGACACACACAACCAGGCACAGAGACATGCACACAGACTGATACACACAGGAAGATGGTCCAGGACTCATCCACAGGGCTCTTAACTAATGAGCAGAGTGAGTCTTCATGTGGAAGTGGTAATCCTCCTGCTCTGGGAAGTGCTGGCCGCACACCGAGCACGTGCAGCCCTTCTCCTTGCTGTGCGTGCGGCGCACGTGGCTGTCGTGGGCGGCATGGGAGGCGAAGGCTTTGCCGCAGTGTTTGCACTTGAAGGGCTTCTCCCCCGAGTGCTGGCGGATGTGAGTGCGCAGGATGCTGGATGCTGTGAATGCCTGGCAGGTGGGGATGGGAAAGAGGGGAGAAGGAGTTGAAAGCAATCTATTTTCACATACCTAATCCCCAGGTTGAGCTAACCCAGACCCTGTCATAAGCAGTGTATCCCAAAAGTAAGTCCTTAAAGATCCCACATCCTCAGATAATTAAGAGAAAAAACAAAACATCCTGGCAATGAGAAGCAAAAGTCAACAGCTACCACACTCAGCTCTGCAGTTATGGCTTAGTCTGTGGAGTGAAATGAAGCTCAGAGGAAGATTCCTGACCAGAGACGCCAGTAAATATTCTCTACATGTCAAAGGATAACAAGTCAATATTCTGTTAATTAGCTTTGCAGTTCCTTTGTGTTCAGGAGACTTAATGCAGGTTAATTTTCAGAGTTAAGCCCATTCATGCTCACACATACTGGCTTGTGATTCAGCTAACAGAATTCATCTATGTGGTCAGTCCAGCATCCATCTTCTCAAGTTTCATTTTCCCACTCCATCATACTCTGCTCTTCTTGGAGTTAGACATTCCAGCCTGTTTACTTTCTCCCCTCTTGGATGCACAACCACACTTTGTCCCCCTCATAAAAACTCTTCCTGCATTTGGGGAGAAAACCCTATAACCAAGAGCAGGAATGTTGCAAAGTTGCCCATGTTTTCCTCATTTATTCTTTTCTCAAGAGAGACAATTTCAGGTTGTCCACTATTTGCAGACCGTGCACAAAAGTATCATCTTAAACCCAGTTATGTTGCTGAACCATCACAACTAAGTTTTCACAGTAAAGAGCAATACATCTCAGACAGCTTTTCACTAAGAACCTTAGTGCACAAACAGATCTGAGAACCCTACAGAGAAGTCCCTGGAGATGTTTATCAACAGGAACAAAGTGTGCTTGAGGGCCAGGAATGGTGATCTTGGCCCAACACTTTTCCTTTAATCTCATGATTTCACTGAGATAGTGAGCAAAGGGGCAGGGAAAGCAAAGCTGCCCAGAAGCAGTCACTGTTTGAGGTAGAAAAGGCAAAGAATTGTAACTGTGTAGGAAGAGCTGGTGAGGATGCTTTAAAATAGTTCCTGGTTTCCCACATGCAGAAATAGTGGCTATGTCCCAGGACAGCTCCAGCCTGAGGACTAATCTGTCTGATCTGCAACAGTCCTAGCAGAACTGTTAGTGGCTGGTCAATGGTCTTACACATTGTAGATGTGTTCACAGAGCAACATACAAAGCCCTGTTTTCTCTTGCTGTGATTCAAAGATTAAAAGGATGACATTTCACTGGAAACTGCCTACATGTGCTCAGGATGCCTGGGAGAGAAAAAACATAACTGAAAGGAGCTTCTTCTAAGGTTCTTTACTACAGAGCACCTCAACTTTGTGTTAGTCCATCCAGTCATAAACAAAGTAACTTTCTCCAGTATCAGGAGCATCTCACTATAAGCTGACCATGCTTTCTGCATTGCATGGACACACCACAGCACCTGGAGCCCTACCAATACTCATCCAGCAGCAGCCTCTACATCCATTCCCCATCTGCTGAGAGCTGTCACTGCTCTCACAGGCAGAGCTCACCTGAACCCTCCTTGCTGTGAAGTGTAGCAACAGCTGAGCATTTTTGATCAGTGCTATATGGCTCTATTCTTGTTTTTCAGAGGAAATCTCCATGTCCAGTTGCACATCAATTGCCTTCTTGCAAGGTTAAGCTTGTGGGCTCAATCTGTTTGCTGCACTCCAGAAGCAGTGTTAGTTCATAGAATCATAGAATCCTAGTTATATAAAAAAACTACCTATCTGATGAAAAAGTGGAATATTTTACTAGCTGCCTGCCTTGGATGGTATTTGAAATGCTCTCAAGCTTTTCCAGACCATATCCCCATAGCAGCTCTTTGAGCTGGGACAAAACAAATTCCACATCAGATGGAGACTAGACCCTGTTCCTTTAGTCTCAGTTGGCCCTACCACTTCACAATTGTGCCCAGAACATTTACTCATTCATTTAGTTATCAATGCAAATAGAAGGCATTTTCTTGAAAGAAAACAGAAACAAAAACTGAAAAAAGACAATGGAGCATGGAAAGTCAGACCCTCCAGGTGTGGTGGGATGCTGAGTGCAGCAGGGGATGCATGGAAGGACAGGAGAGGGCTTTGCCTTACCTTGTTGCAGTAGACACATTTGTAGGGGCGCTCCCCAGAGTGAACCCTCATGTGTTTGTTCAAGCTGGAAGACTGAGAAAAGCTCTTCCCACACACCGAGCACTAGGGAAAAAAAAAAAAAAAAAGAAGGTGGGGGGAAAGTTTAAAGGAAGCACACAACAGCATAGCTGAAAAATTAGGTATGTGGGTTGATATGTGCATGCATTTTCTTACATAAAATTCTGGATGTTTTTATCTATACATGTACATTTATGGTATGTCCATATAAACTTGAATTTCAGCAACAACAATCTGAAATAGAATTTTAATCTGGTTTTAAGAATAGATTGTTTTTTAAAGAGAGGAAATTAATGCAAAATGTCAAAACTTTTCTTGCGTGTGGTTAAAAGTGTTTTGTTAAAATTCATCCTTTTTCAAAGCATCAACAGAAAATATTGTCAGTAGTAAAAAGATGAAATAATCTGTAAAATCATTATTTTCTTCAAAATGTAAATCAAGCTTCAACTGCTATTTTTATTTTTTACTGAAAATATAAAACTTCCTTAAAAAACCCAAAATACTTTAAGAGGACCTCTTAAAATAATAACAATGTTGTCAGTTGCACCACTCAGCCCAGTTTTGTCTGTCAGAAGTGCCTCTCCTTAGGAGTGAAACAAGCAGTACTTGATCCTCCAACCCTTGGAGCTGCTGCCTTTACCATCAGTGTGGTGTGTGCTCTGGGGCTGGCAGCAGTGACAGGACAAAGCCCAATTCAGAGAGAGGGGACTGAAGTAATTGGAGAGACTTGCATCAATGGAATTTTGTAGGAGCCCCAAAATAATTTTCCCCCTACAATAATTTGAAATAAATCATCTACCATAAGCTTAAACTAAACTAAGCAAAGACTAAACTTGAAAGAACGTGATTATTTCTTACACATTTTACATCTTTTCATTTTGCATATTTTTTTTAACTTGTTTTACGTCTTTGCTTTTTGAGTAGATCTTTTCTGCTATAAAGGCAATTACTCAGAACAAGTTTCTCTTCTTGCTGTTTTAAAGTATGTCTTTTGCATGCATTAAAAAATAAATGCTCTACAAAAGTTAGTGGGAAAGAACTACATTACATTTAATGTCTTGTATTTAATAGAATTATCTTTGTGTTACTAAATCAATGCAATATTCTGAAATTGTAATATTGCTGATTGCAGGACTATGTAAAAAAATAGGTATTTGGATGATTTTCTGGACTGATTTAACTGCCATTTCAAGCACTGGAACTTGCCCTTCCCCAGCCTTTAGGAAAAGTCCGATTTTTGTTTACTAGAAATGAGGCAAATATCTCAGCAAGGATTTCCTTCCAGGAATTGAAAATCTGCTCCATTTTGAACTTAAAACATTTTTAACTCCTGTAGATGTCTGTCAGTTTTAAGACTGAAAGGGGACAGCAAAGGACATGGGACATCATCTCTCCTGATGATCACCTTCAAACACAATTTCGCCCCACACTGTAAGAAAAAGTAACAAAACCCCACATGTAAATATAAAAAAAAAGCCCTGGAGAAATACTGATATTATTTAAAGTCTCATTGAGACTGTGGGGTTTATTTTGCCAATATAAATCCATTAAATTCTTCACTAAACTCTGTCTGCACAAGACAAGCTCTTCCTGTACAGGCAGAGCATTCCTTTCAGGGAACTGTCAGGGATCTGGAGGAGTGGGAACAACATCAGCATCTTACCTCATCTCAGAAAGACTCCTTAAGAGAGACCCAGGAGCAGGCTCACCTTGTGAGGTCTGTGCTTTTCGTGAACGTGGAGAATATGGATCCTCAGCCTGTCTCTTTTTTCAAAGGATCGGTTACAAAGGTGACAAGGAAATTTGCGGTCCCCCTGGTCCACGCAGCGAGTGTACTTGAGGTGCTTGTCCCGGTAGTACTTGTAGGCAAAAACCTTGCCGCAGCGCTCGCATTTAAAGCTCTCCCCGGCTTCTGTACGGCAGAAGGGAAAGTGCCATGACCCCGTTACACCACAGCAAAAGGGGGTAATAATTTCTAATCTCCTTCCTTGTAGGAGCTGTTACCCAACTGGGAATTTTAACTCTTGGGAAGGGTTATAATAGTAAATGGATTCTGACAGTATCATTAACAAAACACACGTCGGATCTCTTAAGTACCCGCACGGCTGCGCTTGCCTTTCTAAGGGAGGGGAACAACCTAGAGGGCACAGCCTGATAAAATCACTGGGTTTAGCTAGTGACTTCAGCAAAGACAGGATTTCATCCCCTTAATCCTCATAGACGGCGAGCAAATGTGTGAAAAACCGACGCACGGTGCCACAGAGAAGAGTCTCCCCACACGGAAACATTGCCAGGTATTTCTTATCAGTATTGTCCGTAAATTTGACCTCCCATCCCCAAAAGAAACAAAATAATCTGCACATCTTTTATATAGTTTTTAAAATACTATCGAAGAAAAACACGTTTATTTTGTTTTCTTTTGTGTTTCAAACTGTTCTTAACCACCGAATTTAGCAACAACAGGGGAAATGTTTCAAACGTTTACACACCCTTCTACATTTAATAAAAGGAACTTTTCCATAAGCCTTAAAACGAAATGAACAATTTACCAGCTGTCTGAACCAGGCAGCTTTCCGACAACAGCTACACAAAAATTTCCATGCCAAATTTCCATGCCAATTTGCTCCTCTCCCTCACTGCTCCACCCAGCCCACTCACCCCTTACCCACTCCAGCTCTTCCTGCATTGGCACAAATCTGCTCTCCCCGTACATTAAGTATTGCTTACAAGAACGTCACACTTTCTGCACATTATAAGCAGAACTACTCCTGGAGGAAGTGTATTTGACGTTTCTTCTGCAAGCAAGTGTCAGCATTACAGGATTGGAACGATTTCGGTCGGCTCCGTTTATGGAATGTTAATTTCACGCCAGGTAACATGAAGTTTAGAATAAGACCCGACCAAATCAGGAATGACCCCCAAAGCCCGTCTCTTTCCAAAACAGGACTCCCCCTGAAAGACCGTAGCTGAGGAGCTGAGACAAGACCAGCCCAGCCTCACCAGATGTTTTACAATCGCCAGATGAACATTTCGAACTCCCCGGGGAAACACGAGCGAGGAGCAAGCTGCGGGGCAGAAATCGGGGCCTCTTGCTCCGAGCTATCAGCAGCCCTTGGGGCAATCCCCCGGCTACCCGATGCCGAGGGGAAGCTGCTCTTGGGGGTGGCTGGAGGCTGTAAGTTAAAGGGGGGGACGACGGCCAGGTTCCCGGGAAGGCGGACAGACCCCCAGGCTTGGGGCTGCGGGACCACTCACTCCGCCACCGGCTCACCGAGGGACTGGGAAGCCTTCAAAGTAAAACACGACCAGAAAATACTGATGCCAGAGTCCTTTCACCTCCCTTAACGCGAATCTGATCACAGCCAGACACCAGTCCATGGGAATAAGGGGCAGCGCCCCTCGAGGGGCTGCTGGCTTGCTCACCTTCGGGGTTCTGCGGGGGTCTCTTCCCCTCCGGCATGCCCTTCAGGCTGATGGGGATGCCCAGGAACTGCACGTAGCAGTCGCCGTACCACACTAGCAACTCCTGCTTGGGCAAGATTTCCTTGCAGCTCTCGTAGAAGATTTGCCCCTGGCACTGGATAGCCGTCAAATTCTGCTCCTCGGGGAACCTGGCGCAGTTCACCAGCGACATCCAGTTGCCAGAGGCGCCTTTCCCGTCTATGAAGTGGCTCAGGCGACCGTATTCAAAGATCTGGAGAGAAGCGAGAAGCTTATCAGGTTTGACTCAACTCTTGCAGCCGACGACCCGCTCACACCAATCCCACCACCCATCCTGGGCCGTGGACCCCCTTGCAGGCTACGGGCAACCAAAAGCGTCTCTCAGGCCCCGTTTTAAGGGGTACAGGGGGAGCCCCGCGGTGCCTCCACTACCTCCCACATCAGCGAGTTGTCGTCGTAAGTCTTGATCTCGCTGGTGTTGACCACTTTGCCTTGAAAAGGGCCGAAGCGGACTCCTTTGGGGATGGGGTCCGTGCAGAACACTCCGAGGTGAGACACATCCCCGTATGCCACCCGCAGCACCGACAGCCCTGCGGGGACAGGGCGGGCTGAGCGCGGCTGGGCCGCGGCCGGGAGCGATGGGTGCCCAGACAGCTCAGGGCCCTTACCTTCGGGTAGCTGCAGCGAGTCCTTGTCGAGCAGCGGGGCGGAGGAAGAGTCCGGAGCACCTGCAGAAGAGGGACCCTTCTACAGCCCGGCGCCGGCCGTGCAGGTGCGGAGCCGCGGGAGAGGGTCTTGCCGCCCCCGACACCCGTCGCAGCCCAAATTATCCCCTCGTTCTTCCTCGGTGTGTGCTCGTAAAGCAAGCAAACCGCTAAGAAGGGAAGCTCGACGTGCCCCACACCCCTCTAGGGACTGTTCCAAAACCCCACCACACACCCGGCCTCAAGGAGCAACCTTGCCCCGGTGTCCCTCTCGCAGCCCCTTGCCCTCACGCCGCGGCGCCCTTACCTGGGCTGGTGGGGGGCACCCGGAGCCCCGAGATGGCGTGCAGGCTCCCGGCTGGCTGGCTGCTC